GAGGAAGGGTTCAGCCCCTACGGATTGAGGCGCAGGTTTCTGCCGCCGTTGCCCGGGCATGGATTTGAAGTCCTTTAGGTGCTGGGTGGAAAAAGACGGTGAAGGGTGCTTGTGGCAGAGGTAACGGTACGTGCGGAGTTGGCCTGTTTAAGGAATTGCCTGGAGAGCTCTGAGCTAAGGAGGGTCCCGAACTGTTAGGTCTGAACAGGCTCCCTCTGGCTGTCGCGTCGGGAATAGACCGGGAGGTGGGGGGACGCGAGGAGGTTACTGGGGCAGTGGAGGTGTGCAAAGTGGTCTGAGGGGCCAGATATGGATCATGAATGGCCCCAGCAAAGGAAAGGCTGTTTGGGCTTAAGGCACACGAGAGGGTGAGTCTGAGACCGAAGGAGACCCCGAGGAGTTAAGAGAGGCCTCACCTGAGCCAGGCTGGTGCAGAGTGGGTGGGCCTCAGGGTGTGTCTTTTGTCCTGACTGAGGCTTCTCCCCTAGACTGGAGGTGTGTGTGGCCTGCGTGGGGGGTGAGCCAGGTATCTAAGATAGAGGGAAACTGAGGCCAAGCAAGCATGTTGCCTGTTTGTCGGTAAAGCAGCTGGGCTTCTCAGATTCCCATTGTTCCCAGGGGGTGGCACCCCTTTCCCTTTCCAGTGCCTGAGGGTGGGCAGTGCTGGGATTTCGAGGCCACGGTTTGACAAGAAGTGTCCATATTGCTCAGCCATGCTGCTCTTGCGGCCTCTGCCGCTCCACCTGCACCCAACCAACCACACACCCCTGCACAGTCCACAAGCCCCCTCTCTATGCCTCACCCACACCCTGCGCCCCACAGGCCCAATCAAGATTCCAGGGAGCATCAGGCTGCAGGAGGCATCTCCCGCCAGCTGTGCTGGAGCGGGCCAGAGACCATGTATTTTCCTCCCGCAGGGCACCTGCTAGGCTAATAATGCCCAATCTAGTCTCAACTCTGTGTGACTATGCACACCCCGAATCGCTTAGCCCCAGAGGCAGTTCATGCCAGCCACACCCCTGCGAAGACTTCCATATACACTAGTTAATGTAGCCAGGTTCTGAGGCAGCAGACCTCGGTCTGCACAGGGCCTTGGATGTTCCAAGGTTGGGGGCTGTATCAAGGGGAGATCAAAAAGAAGCCACTCATGGTGGGAGTCGCAGCCAGCAGGGTGGGGAGTGGGTGAGACATGGAAGCCTGTTCTAGATAGGGGTCCCCGCCTTCTCCACAGGGTGTCCTGTCAGAGGAGGATGTGGGGAAGGCTCTGGATACCAGAGTTCCGGGAAGGGTGGGTGGGGCAAAATAGGGGAAGCGAGCCCTGGAGCTCCCCACGCTGGCAGTAAGCAAGACCGGAGGGCAGCAAACCTTTGGTATCCCCAGCCCTCTCACAGCGGTGTGCTGGGGGCTTCAGAGGTAGAGGGGGCTGCAGAAGTCCTGGGGCGGGGGCAGGGAGTCCTGCTGTGTTGGGGACCAGGACTTCGAGGGGCCAGGGGCATTGGAGAAGGTCGGGGTTCCTGAAGCTGGGGGGTGTGGTTCACCCTTGGGCCCTGTCCCTATGAAGGGATGGGAACGCTGGGGCAGAGGGGGGTCCCTGGCTGACTTCCTCTTGCCCACACCCGCTGGTCCGGTGCAGATGGCGGCAGCGGAGGCGGTGCACCACATTCACCTGCAGAACTTCTCCCGATCGCTGCTTGAGACCCTCAACGGGCAGCGGCTGGGTGGGCACTTCTGTGACGTGACTGTGCGCATCCGCGAGGCTTCACTGCGTGCACACCGCTGCGTGTTGGCCGCCGGCTCGCCCTTCTTCCAGGACAAATTGCTGCTCGGCCACTCTGAGATCCGCGTGCCGCCTGTGGTGCCCGCGCAGACGGTGCGCCAGCTCGTCGAGTTCCTCTACAGCGGCTCGCTCGTGGTGGCGCAGGGCGAAGCGCTGCAGGTGCTCACGGCCGCGTCAGTGCTGCGCATCCAGACGGTCATAGACGAATGCACGCAAATCATAGCCCGCGCCCGCGCCCCTGCCCCGGGCCCCCCCGCGCCCGCGCCCCTGCCCACGCCCGTGCCCCCGCCGCTCGCGCCCGCGCAGCTGCGCCACCGCCTGCGCCACTTGCTGGCCGCGCGCCCCCCGGGCCACGCCGGTGCCGCGCACACACGCAAGCAGCGCCAGCCCGCGCGCCTGCAGCTGCCCGCGCCCCCCGCGCCTGCCAAGGCGGAGGTATCGGACGCCGACCCTGCCCTGACCGCTGCGCCAGACGACGGCGCGGACGACGACGACGACGAGACCGATGAGGAGACCGACGGCGAGGATGGTGAAGGCGGCGGCCCGGGTGAGGGCCAGGCGCCTCCTTCTTTCCCCGACTGCGCCGCCGGCTTCCTACCCGCGGCCGCGGACGGCGCGCGCGAGGAGCCGCCTGCGCCCGCCGGCCTCCCCGATTTCGGCGGCGCCGGGAGGGACTTCCTCCGGGGGACTTCGGCTGCCGAGGACGTGTTCCCCGACAGCTACGTCTCCGCTTGGCAAGACGGAGATCAAACCGCCCCTGAAGGCTGTCCCGCCGAGACCCCTGCCCCGCCCGACTGTGTCCTATCCGGACCCCGCCCACCTGGCGTGAAGACCCCCGGGCCGCCCGTCGCGCTTTTCCCCTTTCATCTGGGCGCTCCCGGGCCGCCAGCGCAACCCCCTCCCGCGCCCTCGGGGCCGGCCCCTGCGCCCCCACCCGCCTTCTACCCAGCGCTCCAGCCGGACGCAGCTCCCAGCGCGCCTCTAGGGGAGGCCCCGGCCCCACCGGCCGCTCCCAGCGCAGCCCCCTCGGCGACCCCTGCGCGCGCCCCGGGTGCCGAGCCGCCCGCCTATGAGTGCAGTCACTGCCACAAGACGTTCAGCTCCCGGAAGAACTACACCAAGCACATGTTCATCCACTCGGGTGAGCCGGGGCTGGGTCTCTGAGCCTCTTGATCATTGGAGATAGACTTTTTGTTAATACTTGATGACCCTAGGGGTCAAACACAGCCTGTCTCCCCCTGTCTGATTCAGGGGGAGGGGGGCAGCCTACTCTGTCACCCCGGGGACATGATAGCAGCCAGAAGGGAGGGGGTAGGTATGGCGGGGTCTTTCCCAGTGTAAGGGTGCTGGGCCTTGCTAGACTGTCCCCAGAATGGTGGCCAGCGACCAGACAGTCCAGAACGCTCTGTGAGCGTGGCAGGGATGGGGGAGGGGTATCCCGCGGCCCTGTGCCAGGCACGGTGCGGTTTGGGGGCGGGAAGGTCCCTGGAGGTGGGGGTAGACCTGAGTGGTCAGCCTCGGTGGGCAACGATGCCCCAGACCTGCGGGGTTCCCCGCTGGGAGGCTACCTGTTGGAGTTGTGGGTCACAGACAGGCAGTGACATCCCGGTATGACCCTAAGGGTCGGGGAGAGGGGCGTCGCTGCCGGGCGGGGGGATTCCGGGTGGATGGCTGGTCCGGTTGGGGAGGGGAGTCCCTGCCGGGCAAAGGCGCCCCGGGGCCCTTCCCCAGCTGACCTGAGTTTGCTGCCCGCCCTGTCGCCCGCAGGGGAGAAGCCCCACCAGTGCGCCGTGTGCTGGCGATCCTTCTCGCTGCGCGACTACCTGCTCAAGCACATGGTCACGCACACGGGCGTGCGCGCCTTCCAGTGCGCCGTCTGCGCCAAGCGCTTCACGCAGAAGAGCTCGCTCAACGTGCACATGCGCACCCACCGGCCGGAGCGCGCGCCGTGCCCCGCCTGCGGCAAGGTCTTCTCGCACCGCGCGCTGCTGGAGCGCCACCTGGCCGCGCACCCTGCGCCCTGATCCGGGCATGGGGCCTGGCCACGCCCACCAAGGGATCGGTCAAGCGCCACCCGCTGTCACGCCTGCCGCGGCCACTTGACCACGTCCCCGCCACCAGCCCACGCCTTCTCCTGAGATCAGGCCCTTCCCCTGCTTCCACCCTCCTCTCCAGCGCAGCCCGCCTTATTCCTCCCCTCCTACGTACTCGGCCCTCCGGGTGGGGCTGGCTGGGGATGGCCAGGGACCCGGCCACCTCTGAGAACTGGGTCATCTCCGGCCGGAACTAGGGCTCAACCATGGTGCGGGGCCCAGGATTCATGGCTCCGACTCTGGTTCACACCCCTCCCCTCCCATGAGTGGGGTGGGGTCTGCTCCCCTGCTCCTGCGTCAGGCCGGGAAATGTCCCCGGCTCCCCGACCCGAGCTAATCCGCCCTCATCTGGCGCCTGGGGCGTCTCAGGTGGGCCCATCATGGACTGAGGCCTGGTCTTGGGACCCCTGCTCTGTAATAAAGGACTGTGGGCCGTGGGGCCGAAAGCTGGAAGCGTGAGCTCCCGGACCCGTGTGTTCCTGTTCCTCACAGACCGTCTGTGGGTGTTGGGCCTCAGTGCCCCTGTCCCTGGCAGCATCCCTGCTGCTCCCTGGGCTCCTTTGCCTGCGAGCGGATGATCCACTTTGCCATCTCGTGTCTCTGTTCTCTGGGTGGGAGTGGGGTGCACGTATGACTGGCGCTTGACCCTCCCAGAGCCCTCGGTCCCGTGGGGAGGGGTACAGGCGGGTCTCGGAGAGGGAGGCCACGTGTGGGAAGTTCGCAGCCGCAATCCCAGCGGCTGCCACCCAAGATAAAGATTTCGAGGCCCCTCCCCCCATATCTTCCAGACAGAATCTCTAGTCTCCAGACTTCTCCTCCCCTGTCCTGATGGGCATGACGGTTGAGCACCTCACTTTTGAGGGTCCAGGGGGTCTTTGGGGCCAGGCTGCCACTAGGGGGTCCGAGCCCCAGGATAGCTGTCCTGGCCGGCAAGGTCGGAAGTGCCAGGCAGGGCTGGGGTGGGGGCAGGGCAGAAAGCGGCAGCCGGGACCCTTGGGCTGCCCATTGGGCTGCGGAAGATGGCCAGCCAGTGTCAGCTCGAGGCTACTCTTCGCGTGCCCCCATCACACTGTCGGCACATGGCCTGGGCACCCCGGTCCAAAGTATCTGGAGCTGGTGAGGGGGGTGTGTGGCCTGTAGGGTGCTCCAGTAGCCCAGCTTGCTGTGATCCTAGGCCAACGGCAACGTTTCTCTGCGCTACCCGCTGTGACTGCCTCCCAGAGGAGGGGGGCTAAGGCTTTCCTGGTCCAACCGTGCATAGACTGCCAGACCCACATTCCAGGCAAAGTTCAGCCTCCTGAACCCTGAGCATGGTCCCCATTTATGCCAAGGGTAAGGCAGAGAGTCAGAGTGGACCACATGGGTTGGGGGTCAGAGCTGGGTTTAAATTCGGGCACTGCAGGTGTTCAAGGGCTTACTGAGCACCTGCTGTGTACCTGGCAGGAGGATGGGGGCTCATCCCAGCCAGGCCCCATCTCCCGGAGGATTCAGATTAAGTAGGTGCCACAGGAGAACTTCCTGGTGAGGTTTGCAGATGGGAAGGCAGTGCTTACAACCAGAGCTGCCCTGGTATCATGCTGAATTTGCATTTGGCATGGCTGGAAGTTCAGTTGCCTGAGAGAGGGATTTCTGCCTATTTCCCAAGTGCCTGGGGCACAGCGTGGGGGACAGAGGCAGAGGGGCTGGAACCACGCGGAAGACCAGGCAGAGTGAAACAAACAGTTGGGGTTAAGAAGGGCTGGAGGCAGAGTCCTGGAGCCACCACCACGGTCAACAGCCTCTGGGTCACAGCCAGGGGGTGGGGCTGATGGGTTATCAGCCCGGGCAAGAGGTGGGCATTC